CAGGCTCCTCTGTGTGCGTGTATGTGTATAAAAAAAGTTACATGGTTATAAAACCTTATGATGGAAAATAAGTTTAAGAAACATTAGTGTACTCTAAGGAGGAGACTGCACAAAAGATGCCCTAACACATTTAATGCCCTAGTTAAATGTATTGCACAAGGCTCGTTTTCTGGAGCTGGATAAACAGAACATCTTTCTCTTTCTATTCTAAGCTTCCATCCCCCGCCCCCCTCAAGCCACTTCAGTGGCACACTAAGTGGAAATCTTATTTCCTGCCTCTGCAGACCTATTTACCTGAATGTCTGAGTTCACCCTTGCCTTTCTCAGGTGTACCCTTCCTGAAATACACTTTTACTTTCATCTCCCTGCCTTCCTTGCCCCCGTTTTTAAAGCCTTCTCTAATCCTGCACTCCATGTCCTCTAATCTATGATGTTGAACACTGCCATTCTGTATAGCCACCTTTAAGCAGTCATCTCCCAGGTTGACATTTTCTTCCCGTGTGAATTGAAATCCCTTTTCAATCTGTAATAGTGTACAAATTTTAAAATAAAGAACTATTCTCGGCCGGGCGTGGTGGCTCATGCCTGTAATCCTAGCACTCTGGGAGGCCGAGGCGGGTGGATCACTCAAGGTCAGGAGTTCGAGACCAGCCTGAACAAGAGCGAGACCCTGTCTCTACTAAAAATAGAAAGAAATTATCTGGACAACTAAAAATATATACAGAAAAAAAAAAATTAGCCGGGCATGGTGATGCATGCCTGTAGTCCCAGCTACTCGGGAGGCTGAGGCAGGAGGATTGCTTGAGCCCAGGAGTTCGAGGTTGCTGTGAGCTAGGCTAACGCCACGGCACTCTAGCCCGGGCAACAGAGTGAGACTCTGTCTCAAAAAAAAAAACTATTCTCAAAAGCCATGTCTGCCAATTTAAAATGCCTTCTTGGCTTGCTTTATCCCCTTTGATAATTGCAAGGTTGTGCAAATTATGACTTTGACTTATACTTCTTGTATGTGTGTTGCATGTATTTTTATTTATTAGAGAGGACCTTATGAATGTCCACATATCCCCACGCCCTTTCTGGTCTTTTATTTTTGGACTTCTGGGAATTGGTGATTTTAAGAAAAGGGGTGTGTGTGTGTGTGTGTGTGTGTGTAAGCATGTTGGTATGAACAAGAGATGCTGTATGTAACCTGCAAAGCCCGAAATATTTACTGTTGGGCCCTTTACGATGAAAATGTGCTGACTCTTTACATAGTTAACTCATTTATAACGTGTCTGTTTTGGGGATCTCCACTTTTTTTTTTCCCCCAAAGTAAAGGTCTTGAATGTGGCCCTGTTCCTCAAGGGAAACTCCTAGGCCCCAGCTTCCTGTCTGAGAGACAGCGTGACTGGACTCGATGCTCTGAGATGGAGAGCACGCTGGGGTAGCTGTGACTGTCTGCAGTGTGTGACTCTTCCATGGGAAATGCCTGTCAGGAGGAGGCCTGGTAAATCACTGGCCATTGATAACATGGTTTTTGTACCCTGGAGAGGACGCATTGTCCTACCCGGCCTGGGCATTGCTGCTGCTACAACAGGAAGGGTGATTGAAGTGTGCTTCCCATCACTTAATTGAGGTGGGGAATAAAATAGGTCACAGCTAAAAGAAAACATCTATTCAAGGCCAAAAGAAAACTGCCAGCCGTGCTGGTTGGTGCAGTGAAACATCTTTCATTCTTCTTAAACCTCTTTAAGCATCTGCTGAGGAATGTTAAATCAACCGGAGAATTTCTGGTATCATGTTGCTGGTGTTATGTTGCCCAGAACCAGTATTGCATTGTTCATATGGATGCCCCTAAGATTTTCACTTTCTGCCTCTGGCGTCATTGTGGTGCTCTGTCTTTGACCTTAACCCCCTTGCCCTCTTGCTGTTAAAGCCACTGGCTCCAGAGTGCTGTCTCCAGCTCCTGAACTGCTGGATCACCCTGCTTTGTGCTTTGTCTCCTGTCCATACCCAAAATTTCTCTCCCCATTTTGTGCCTTTCTAATAAAAGGAAGCTAAAAGTGAGGGAATTTTAACTGCCTCTGAAAAACAAATTAAACAGAACAACATGTTTGGGACTGATAGTGAGATGGCAAAGTAAACTTGAAATGGGAAACCCCCTCCCCCAAACCCCGTCTCCTAAGTCCCGTTTTATTGCAGCCTGCATAAAATCAAAGTGCCAGGGCCCAGCTGCTCCAAAGGCTGAAGGTCCTCATGGTTCCAGCATGTTTCGGAAAGTCATCCCCACCAGATTTGCAGTTAATGAAAATATTTGCTTTGCTTGACATAAACAAAGTTTATGGGCAGAATTTATGATTAGGAAACTCTTTAATTCTCTTTTACCCTTCAATCCCTAATTGCTCTTGTATCATGTTGGAGAAATTCTTTAGTGTTTAAGAATACAAACCTTTTCTCAGTAATAATCTTTACTTTTTTATTTCTGGTGGTGGTATATGTATTTCTCTCTTCTTTTGTTTCCCCATCCAAATTAAGGGATTTGAAATCTGGGTTTTTATTAATATTTTTTACTTTTGTATATAGGTCAGTAATATTCATGTGTGAGTAGGGAGACACAGAGCACCCACAGCCATGTGACTACCCAGGTCTGTAATTTAGGCTGTGTAAGGGCAGCCACAGGGCAGTGTAGCTCTCTTCAAACCACATGGAAAACCAGTGTCACGTCTTCAAGATGTCTCCTATACATCTTATATATGTAACCCTCTGGGGCTGTGGGCTGTGGCCTCATCGCTTTCCAAGTTCTTGTCTGTCTCCTAGTGTTTCTTGCCTAAAACACCCACAGATCGGGTGACCTGATGCCATTCTTGCAGGCATAGTACGTGCTGGCATTCTTAACATGAGGATGAAGTGGTGGTGCGGATCAGTCTTGAGAACCAACGTGTTGGTTCGGGTGTTGGACCAGAGAAAACAACTGTCTCTCTGCTTTCACGGGTCTCGTCAGGGCGGAGGGCATCTAGCACCAGTGGGAGTTGGCATCGTGATGCAGCCCCAGCTCTGCCTTAGGAGCCGTTTCCTTGTCAGACAGGCAAAGGGAAGGCAGCCAGGAAGCTTCATACGCTGGCTAAAGGCCTCAAGAGGTGGTTTCTGAGAGCTTCCAGGCTCATGCACGGTGTGGTAGACTGGCCCCTGTGTATCTAGAGCTGGCTAGGGAGACAGGCTGGGTGAGGGTTGTAGAGAGTGGGGGCTGTTGCTGTTTGTATGGCCTCTAGGAGGGAAGGGCTTCTAACTCCTGCCTGCTTCCTTCTTTGCACACAGAGCTTTGTCTTGGGCATTTGCACGAGTATCTGTTTTTGTAATTCCAGTGAGGGTTTTCTAGTAATTCCAGTTTTTTTTTTCTTTAAATGCCAGTCATTTGGGCAGTTAGTCATAAATCTTTTGGTTTCCCAAGTTTATTAAAACCCCTTCTAGCTGAGTGTGGTGGCATATGTCTGTAGTCCCAGCTATTTGGGAGGCTGATGCAGAAGGATTGCTTGAGCCCAGGAGTTGAAGGTTGCTGTGAGCTATGCTAACGCCACTGTACTGTAGCCTAATAGACTCTATCTATTAAAAAAAAAAAAAAAAAAACCAACCATCATAGCTGGTCCAGGTAAGACTGAAGTTATCTTTCTGGCTTTGCTGACTTACCCATTTTGGAGCTTCTCTGTTCACAGCTCTGCTCGTTTTGAATTGCCTTGAAAAGTAAGGCATGAGCCTGTGCCCCCAGCCTGTCGAGGGAATGACTCTGCTACTTCCTCATGACTCCTAATATGAAAAATAAGCACAATGATGCAATTTGGAACTTGACGGTTTGGGTAGAATCTCATTTGAGCCTTGTGCACACAGGTCTGCAAAAATTGAGTTCCCGCTTGGCTAGACAGCTGTCATTTATCTTTTTTTTTTTTTTTTCAAATCTAGTCCTTGAGTTTTTTTTAGTCAGGAAGGCATGGCAAGGGCCAGTTGGATAGCTTTTGTAAGAGAGACTGGTTGGCTTATAAAAAACTATGTATCTTTCAAATTCTGCTGTCCATAATTTAGAGCTTGAAGATGCTGTTTAATCAACAAAACAATGACTTACCTTTTCCCCCTGCACATCCTCCGTTCCTTCTTAGTACATACTAAGGGCAGGGGTGGCGAAGGCGGTGGGTGGGGAGGAGCAATAGGAGGAAAGCATATTACCTGAATACTTGAGGACTGGCTATGTTTTTTTTAGAAAGGCTGTTCCTAGCCAAGGTATTCTCTTTCTTCTATACTTTCTACACTATGATTGCATCGTCTATATTTTTGGGGGGTCTGCCTACCCTAGAATTTCATAACAGTAAGCTTATTTGTCCCCAGGTTCGTTTAGGGGTTGAGTACTAAGGGGAATCTGCCTAATGAGTGAGCCAGGGCTCCAATCTCATGACTGGTTTGGGGCATGTTTGAGGTTGAGTTTTAGGAGAGTGGACCCCGTGTTCTGGAGAGTGCAGAGTAGATGGGATGAAAGAATAGAGGATGGTGCTGGGGAGGAATGTGGAGGTGGGCTAGACCCTCCCTTGGACTTTTATTATTGGAGAGGAGCCAGGGAGGCCTGGGAGTCTGGAAGGGCTGGCGTCTGAATCTGTTCTACTGATATCCATGGTAGGCCAATAAATCCCCTCCCTTACTTTAGCTGAAATCAAAGCTTCCTATGGAGCATTCGTACTTGATCTTGATCTAATCTCGGATCAGTGGTTTTCTGGACCCTTTGTTAAGAATGAAATCAGACCAGTTAGGGTGGTGCAGAAAGGGATATGTGGCAGAGTTGATTGATGTTTGAGTGGTAAAGCTTGAGTTTTTTTCTCACAGGGCAAAAATTTTTAATAATAACAAGGGGAAAATAATTTTTAAAAACATCGACACATATCTGGTATATGAGAATTACATTTTAAGAATGTAGTTCTTAGGGATTAAATTTGCATCAATTTGTAATGGATGGTGTAACCTAAGGTGTTATCTCTCCACTCCAGGAGGTGACTTCGGTCCAGAGACTTCTCCAGTCCTGCCCCCTGGCCATGGAGGTGACTCTTCTTTGAGCAGTCTTCCTGTAGCAGAGGACACCTATAGGGTGAGCTTGGCCAAAGGTGTCTCCATGTCTCTGCCTTCATCACCTTTGCTGCCTCGACAGTCTCAGTTGGTGCAATCAAGATCAAACAAAAAATCCCCAGGTAAATAGGTAACAGAACAGTATCCAAAAGAGCTGTCTTGGTTAATTAATATACTGAAATTAAGCAAAACTAATGCCCATGAGAAGTCTTCTGGGAGAATGTTTTTTCTTTGTTACTATAACTTCTGAAAGAAAGAAATATTTTTTATTTCTTTAAGAAAAAAAGTGTGATTTCAACAGACTTGTCCCTTTAGTTCAACCTCTACATAAACTATTTGGACTTCCCAGGCTAGACTTTTACACAGATTCAAGATCTCATTATCAGTACTAATGTTAACCATCAGTTTTTATTGTTTTCTTGCTGGTGAATTATAGTCATGCACTGAATAATGACATTTTTTTGGGTCAACAATGGACCACGTTTATGAGGGTGTTGCTTTAATATTATAATACAGTATTTTTACTGTACCCTTTTCTATGTTTAGATATGTTTAAATAAACAAATACTTACCATTGTGTTACAGTTGTCTACTGTATTCGGTACAGTAACATGCTGAACAGGTTTGTAGCCTAGAAGCAATAGACCAATTAGCCTAGGTGTGTAGCAGGCTGTAACATCTAAGTTTGTGTAAGTACACCCTGATAATTGCACGATGAATCGCCTAATGAGGCATTTCTCAGAATGTGCCCCCATCGTTAGGCGACACATGATTGTAGTCCAACCTCATACATGGTGCCTTTAAAGGTTATGGATTTAGGCAAGTGGCATCTGACAACAGTATTTATTACTACCAAGTATTGTCTACTGATATATTTTACTTGATTACATCACTCAGCATTTGAACAGCTATGATTTTTTATGAAAACTCAGACTTGTGAAAGGGTGGGGGCAAGGGACTTATGGATTACTTGTATGCAATATTTTGGCTTCCCTCAGTGTTACCAACTTTACTTTTACCATAACCTGAAAAACCAAACATTACTTAACCTTGATAGGCTATGATTCACATGTGAGGAAAACCTTTCCAAAACGCTCATACCTGGAATCATAAAATTTCTTGGATGTTCTTTAAGGTTTGCGAGTTTTTCTTTTTTTCTTTTACAAAAAGAAGGCACAATTTTGGGGTCGAATCGATTATATGCCAGTGCAAGGGTTCTTCTCAGTTGCCTGTAAACATATTTGGAATTCATCCAAAATGTGCCCCAGGGGCTGTGAAATTGGTATCTTTTTCTGGTTTCCTAAATATTGACATTACTTGAGATGACATATGCATTATTTCTGAATCATTCAGTGGATAGTTGAGGTTTTTGTGTGGGTAAAATTAAGAGGGCAAACCTTAAGGCTTTAAATGTTAAAAATGGTGCTATGAATTGGTGGGGGTCCAAAATCTTTTATTCTAGAATTTTCATATTTTGGACAACATTGTTTGCAATCCAGTCATTAGCTGGAACTTGGAAACCTTTTTGGTATGAAGTGATTTCCTGTGCCAAGGAATTTGACCTGTTTATCAGTATTTGGGGAAATTCCTGGAATGTCCTTCCTTTCCTCTTTTCCCTCCCCCACGGCTATATCTCTTTGTCAGATTTCTTCTCTTCCTTCAAACTAGAGTTCCCACACTGCCTCTCTTGCTGGGTTACCCTGATTGGAATTATTCTTACTGAAAGTTATGCACAGCATTATACTTCTTCTTTATTCTCAGCTATGTCATTTGTCCTTTTCCCCCGAATTAACGTATATATTGACAAAAATTCTTTGCTTGGCTCCTGAACCTTCTCCTATGTCCATCTATGCACTTCTTCGTAAAGTCCAATTTAGCAAAGAAATCTGCTAAGTCGGTTTAGCAAGAACTCCCACCCTCCAACCTGATTAGGTTCCTTATCCTTCACATCCCCCAGGTGAAGTCTGATCACCCTAACCTATCTTCAGCAAGAATCCCTCACACCCCTGATGTTCCCTGTTAGTGATTTTTCATCCACTCACCCCTACCCTGCTCCTTGGCTATGAATTCCCACTTGGCTGCCTGTGCTGTGTTCAGAGTTGAGCCCAATGTCTTTCCCCGACTGCAAAATCCTGTTGCAGTGGTCCCCACACCTATTGAGATGGCCCTGAATAAAGTCTGCCTTACTATGCTTTAAAAAGTATCACTGAATTGGTTTTTCTTTTCTTTAACAACATGTGCTTGCTATGTCTGATGCTTGAGAACAGGTGAGCTATTTTATACCTCGTCTATATAAAATAATAGAGATAATTCTGAACCTATGTGTATTCTAAAGGGACCTCATGGAAAGTAACACTGAGTGCAGAGATTTGACCTTTTGGACAAATTTCCTTCCTGTAGTCTGTGCTACTGCAAATGCCTTGGTGGTGTTTTTTGGTCTTAGGACTGGGGAACACCTGAGAGACTCTAGGGAAGACTGCATTTCAGATACGATTTGATTCACGACAGATTCAATGTTTGTTTTAATGGGACTTTAGGTAGCAGTAAACGGCCTAGCAAGGGTTTCAGGGAAGTTACAGGCTTGGGGGCAGAGAAATCTCTGACAAGGCCTTGTCTCCTTATTATGTCTGGGGCAAATTAGATTTGTTTGTTTTTTTTTTTTTTTTTTTGGAAAAAAAAAATCCTAAAGTTTTTCTCCATAGAAATGAAATCTATTTCTGCTAAATTCTCGTCAAGGCCCTGAATAGAAAGAAGTTAGTAGTTCTGCAACATTCAACCTTCTAATGGGTTGAAGAACAGACTCTCCATATCAAAAGTTTTTGGTCCAAATGGTCATTAAATAAACTAAGCAGGTAGAGCTCTAACAGAGCAGTACTTGTGGGCTGCTCAAATTTGTGCAGCAAATTAATGTCTCACAGTGGTAATTTGGCTTCATTGTCTTGGTAATTTTAATTTGAAAAGATTAAGGGCAGAGATACTGCTTAAAAATGGCAGACTCAGAATACATCAAACCATAGACAATATTTTTTCCACAGTGTCTAACACAGATTTCTGCTTAATCCGTATTGTTGGGAAAGTTTCCAGAGCACCAATGTTCTACCTGCCTGTTGGAAAAAAAAAAAAAAAGTTGACATATGGTTGTGAGTGTGCACTGGATTTAAAAATATTCATCTATTTAAAAACCTAGCACTGTTGCTGCTAAGGATAGGGTAAATACAGTGTGTCTGCAGCACCCAGAGGTATGGAGCTCCTTCCCACCTTCCATCCCTCCACCCCAGTGGGTCGTGCTCTAGGGTCATGTTATCATTCAGACCCTTGCTCTCACCCAGGGTGGGAACCTGTTTTACTTGTTTGCATAGAAACTCTTCACCAATTGATGCTAATCGAGAAATTGTCAGGGACTGGAACTATTATTCTAGCAAGGGTCAAACACTATACACCCCTGCAATAAGGCACTCCGAACAAACAACACAGCCTGTGTTAATAAAAATTTGTATTTAATACAATTGGCGATTACTTCCTTGATCTTGGGAACTGTGGCCCAGAGATAATTTCATTAACCTTGCAGTAATGTGTCCCTGAATTTTACATGATTGAGTTTCTTGCATTACACTTATATTAAGAGTTACTATTTTTATTTACTCTTCTGCAACCTTCCTCCATCTATTTATATTTTTTTCACTGCTAGTTGGAAGATTCCATTTTCTGAGTATTGTTTCAAAATTTCTGTTTTCTCTAAATGGAAAATAACATTTTCTGGTAATGAAAACAAGGGCCAGCATCCATTAAAGTAGTTCTGTGGCTTTGGCAAGTCTTTTTGGATTAAGAATTCATCGATATTAGTAATGTATCCTTTTGTCTTCCAGAGAAGAAAAGAGCCCATTTCCTGTGGTTTATTAGTGTCATTATCATTGGTTACTTTATATAGTATTTGCATTTCTTTTCCCAGATCATTTTGAGCCCATTATCAAACAATCAAGAGGTCATGCATAAATGGGAAGTAACCCTTTGCAGTACTGTGGTGGCCTACAACAGCAAATGGCGACACGTGGGTGACACTGCTCTTCTGTTGTACTCGCTTGTGTGGGGACACTGGAGAGTGCCAGCCATTGCCACTTCTGCTGGTTCCAGTTCCAGTTCAGTCTCACAGTTGGCATACCTGGTGTAGCAGTTTTGAAAACTCCTCTGGCTCTCTGTTTCTTTAAGGGAAAAAAACCTCAGAACTGACAAGCTGTGAAGTGGCAGTCATACTGTTTCTTTGATTCTCGGACCAGGATGTCTGCCATGGTGCTCTTGCCTCCTACCCCACAAGAATGTTTCTTACAGAAAATTTGGAAGTTGCATCATTAAGAGAGAACAATTGTCAACGTTTTGAATTTTTTTAGTCTTTTTTAAAAAAAAATCTCCACCTGAACCTGAGACCACATTATATAACCTTTCGGGCTTTGCCTTTTTTCACTTAATATTATATCATGAGCAACTTCCAGTTTACTGGAAAAACTTGGTATTTATTGTCCATTGTTTCAATATTCTTTTTTTTTTTTTTTAACCAAAAAGGTGGTGAAGATCAATATTCTGTTATTGATTTTTAAACCACTAATTGTTGGGTATTGACATTCTTTTTAATTTTTTTAAACATTGTTGCATGAGCCAAGATGTTTTGTTTTTTGTTTTTTGCTATTAAATTCCTGGTGTGAATTTTAAAATTGTGGTTAAGTACATATAACATAAAATTTACCATCTTGACCATTTTTAAATATACAGTTCAGTAGTAATTACATTCACACTGTTGGACAACTGTGTCCAGAACTTCTGATATAAATATTTTTGTCCAGTGATTGTTACACACATCTCTGGTATCTGCTCAAGGGTGGCAGGTTCCCAGCAGTGGAATTATTGGACTAAGTGGCCTGCGTTTATAAGGAATCTTGATATATATTGCCAAGTTGCTTTCCAGAAAGGCTGTATTGATTTCACATTCCCTCCAGCGTTCTTTGAGAGACTTCTTTTTGAAGTTAACATCTTCTGGGAAGAGTCTAAATGCATAGTGCTTTGTCAGGCCTAACTGTGGACTACTGAACATTTTAAGAAGAGACTGAGAGAAGTAATTCTGTAGCCGCCG